CGTAAGGCGAGTCAATTATATTACATTATTATTCATTTATTTAATATGCAGGGTGTTTTCAAGTCGCCTATTCTTTATATATATATTTTTTAAGCTACTTTGTAGTAAAGTTTTTTGGCAAGGCGATGAAAATACCTAAATCCATGGCAATTTGTTGTGAGTGGCTGCAAAAACTTGTCACACACTTGAGCAGAGCTCAACAAGAAGCATATATATATATAAGTATACATAGATGGTATAAATATATACATATGTGTGTATGGTTATGTGTATGTGGATGTGGCTTGTGGTGTGACAACAGTTATTTGCCACACTGTTGCCTCACTGCGTGTGCTGTGTGTTAGCTGAGTGTTGGCAGCTGAAAGGCGGCGGTTCGGTTTGCTGTTAGTTTTTCTAGAGGATTTTCATTGGTGTCTTTTGTGGAGCACTTGATGTTGCTTGCTTAGTGGCTTTTGTGGCCAGATATGCTGTATATATATACATATATATACGTATATATATGTGTTACTTTTTAGCCATAACACTGGACACAAAATGTGTGACATATTAAAGCGCCAACAAATATGGCTCAAACACTCACAGATTTTGTTTGTGTGTGTGTTTAGCTGAGTGTTTAGCCAGAGTGCATTGTTAGACGTGCAACAACCTACAGCAGCAGCAGCAGCAGCAACAGCAGCCCAGTTGCACCAACAATATCAACAGCAATTACAAAAAAACAATGCAACAAAAGTGCATAAAAAATGCATGAAGAACTCAAGTGTTTGCCGTGCTGCAACACAGTTACAGATGCAAAAACAAATACTGCTGCAGATACATTTAAGAAATGTTAGAAGAGAGTCATCTTCGAAACGAATTTGAAATGCCCTGTAAATGCAGTTAGAATATAATAATAAATTAATGTAATGATATAAAATTAATTATATCATTTTGTACATAATTTGTATAGGTTTCTAATAATTATAAGTGACTAAAAATTGCTTTAAATGTGCAATTATATAAGATAAAATGCATTCAAATGTAGCTCTATATTTTATATAGGGTATACGCATGCTTACACAATATTTAGGCCGTTAAACAAAGATGAACCAGGAA